AAAAATCAGTACTGTACTGATAAAATCAGTACGTCTGGCAACCGTACTTCCGCAGCATCTATGGTAAGGCACTCCGCGTCGTTCTGCATGTTTACCTATAAGGCAGTGACCCATTAGAGCAGGCTTTCCCAAAGTGGGTGCCGCTAGTGCCTAGAGCATACTAGTGGTGCGGGCCAATTCTTTAAACTTTCCATTCACAACGCAAGCGGATGAGTCAAACTTCAACATGGTGGCCAGAAAAACAAAAAATTTTGATTTTTATTAATATTGCCTTCAGCGGCTCGTCAACCCCCATACACAACACAAATGGCTTGCAGCAAAAGTATATTTCGATTGGTCTGTCAAGCCGCTTGTGTGGTGTATTTCGCTCTTACGCGTAGTTCCCCAGTAGGTTTTGTCAACTAAAAACTGAATCAAAAAATTTTCAGAAAAATAGCCGAAAACGTACCCTTCTCACAACCATTTTCGGTACTTTTATAGACCTAATCCGCGTTTCATCCACCTATCTTCCCGTTTTCGGATTAATTTTCGGATTTTTTGCTGGCTTGGCTGCTCTCATGACGAGCGCAGCAGCTTCACGCACGTGTATTTGTTACTTATTCTTTGGAACTTCAAAATCACACTGTGAAAAAGCGAATCGACACGATTTTAGAGGCAGTCGAGAACGAACTTATAAAAAGTTTGAAAACTTGTGAATTTTTTAGCTTGCAACTTGATGAACTAGTAGGACTTGATGTTGTTCTCGTGTTGGTGAGGTGCCCATTCGCAATGCAAATCGAAGAAGAACTTTTGATGAGCGAAGTACTTAAGACTTACACCACTAGCGACGAAATTTTTAAAGCTATCGACAAATTTGTACAGAAAAATGGTTTGAAATGGAGCAAGTGTGCGGATATTTGCATTGGTTGGAAAAACGAAAGGAGCAATGTCTAGGATGAAGCAAGAGGCAGAAAACGCCACGAGAAGTCACTGTATGACCCGTCGGTATTCCCTGGCGACTAGGAAGATGCCGTCACTAGATTTAAAACCCGTATTGGATGACACTGCGATGATAACAGAGGCCTGCGAAATTAAAATACATCTTTGGTTTTTTTCTAGCACGTCGAGATTTTTTATTGGTGACATGTATATTTTAGAATTTCTAGCAATTTGCATGAAAACCGCATAAGTAAACAAAGTAAATCAGAAAAACGTATGTAACTTCGAAGTTAACGCCAAGAAAATTGCTAACAGTCGGTTTCACCAGCAATTCAAATGGAAAATGATCTTTTATTTTCTGTCAATTTCCATATAATATTCAAAAAATTAAAATCATTTTTCACATAAATTGCTTTTGTGAAATTGGCTGTAAAAGTTATTTTCTTAGCGTTAACGCGCATTACCAGCGTTAACTTGGAAGGTTTAGAAAAAAAATTTGTCGAATATTTTCCCAACATTGACTCTGTGAATGTCTACAGCTGGATAACAAACCCGTTTTCATGTGACCCGAAAAGTAATCCTACTGAGATGACAAATTAAGCTATTGAAAACCTTCTGGACATAAGTGAAGACAGCACTTTGAATATTAAATTTGAATACGAAGGGAGCTGAGAGAGTTCTGGATGCAAGTCTATGCAGAAAACACTGCTGCTGGCAAGATTGCATTAAAAATACTAGTGACTTTTACTTTCACATTTCTATGTGAGACTGCATTTTCATCAAATGCTTACATAAACAAGTAATTTTTAAGCAAAAAACAAAACCGACTTCAATGCTCATATAAAATATTAAGGTTATCGTTAATCTCTTCATGATTCAATGATCGGATTTAAACCAAGTTAGAATGGGACCACCTGTGAGCTAACCCCTTTCCTATAAAAAAAAGAACTATAGTAATCGCTTAACGTGGTCCAAAGTTATGCGGGAACATATGTACATAAAGATAAAAATAATAATAAAAAAATATTCCGACTAATAGATAACCTTCTCCTGTTTGTGAAGTCGGTTAAAAACAAATAAATCAGCAAGCTTTCAGCGTCAAATGATTTCAAAGCCCTCAATAAACTTAAAGGAAATAACAAAACCATCAAAACAATTTCAGTCTAGTAATGTAAATTTTCAATACTTTCAAGTATCGATCGATACTCGATACTTTGGAAACAAGTATCGAATAAAAGTATTCGATACTTTTACATTAATAATAATAGATTGGCGCTTACACATATGTTAGTGTTTTGCCGGGCTTCTCCTCCGATTTGTGGCGTCCGCCTTTATGTTGTCACACAAAGCGGAGGGACCTACAGTTTTACGCCGACTCCGAACGGCGATTGTATTTTTATGAGAAGCAGTTTTTTTCATGGCAGAAATACACTCGGAGGTTTGCCATTGCCTGCCGAGGGACGACCGCTGCTAAGAAAAAACCTTTTTTCTATATTTTTTTGCGATGTTGCTTTGACCAGGGTTTGAACCCAGGCGTTGCGGAGTGGAAGCGCGCACTGCTTACCACTACACCACAGCGGCCGACATACTTTTACATTATTCCGTTAAAAATTCCTTACACCAAAACCGATAAAAATCGTATGACTTGTATCCTTATGTTCTTACGCATAGTGACTCTTTTTTGGTAAAAATGTTTTCACTCGAAAACATTGCATAGAAACTACTGAACTGCTGTTGAAGCTTATTGTTACACTTATACTTATCATAAATAATTTTTAACTATTTCAGCTATTTGGGGATATACATATTTTTCCTATTCTTACCACCACGCGAGCGGATCTCGATGTCCCTCTAATAAATATTCTTGAATATATTGATTACCCTCGACTATAGCAGACGCTAAAAAACTTTTGTGAGCTTTCTTAGATTTTTTATCAAAATCACTCCAAAGAGAATTGCCGTTTTTTTGATCCACATTGTGTTCCGGTAAATTATCTTTTTGAAACCTGATTATACACTGCTCTCCTAAACCATTCTCCATTTAACCATTGTAAATTTTGCAACCCGTTACTTTGCTTTGGCGACGCTTGTTATGAAAATATATTTCAACGATGATGTTTGAGTAACGAAGTATCGACATAATTTTTTCAATACCCATCGAATACTCAAATTGCTCAACAGTATCAAATACATACTATTCGATACTCGATACTTTTCCCATCACTATTTCAGTCCTCACATTACCGCTAAAGGAGCATAAAGTTTGCATTGTGTTTTCTAGTTTTCGTAGACATTTGAAGAGTAGGGGTGCCGCGAAATTGTTTTAGCACAACAACCCTGCATTAGAGCACCGATTGTGTGAGATATATCATCCCTTTTTAGAGAGTAAAAGCTTCGAGACCTTTTTCGATCCCACCTAGGCCAAGTTTGATTAGAAATTCGACAGGTCGTAGTTTGCACCCATATTTCGCTCGCGCGAGCATAGATAAATTCACTTAAAAGCAACTTGTGAGTGGCGAAGGGCATACCAATGCGGTCTTTACCCGGAAGAATCTGCTTGATCGTTACCCCCTCGCAAATTCGTCCGCCATACAGTTACCCTGAATGTACCCATGACCGGAAACCCAAATGAGGTTTGGACTGTTCTGCTTAGCCACCTCTTGCAGAGATCGGCGGCAGTCCAGCACAATTTTTGATTTAATTGTGACGGAGCTCACAGCTTTAATTTGCTGCCTGGCTGTCACTAAAGATGAACACCTCCTCACCTTTTAAATCAGTACGAAGTTCGTTTACAGCGTCCATCATATCTGAGACCTCAGCCTGGAAGACACTACAGTAGTGCGGTAGTCGAAATGAACGGCTCAGGGCGGGCTTCGGGAAAAGAGCCCTCCTCCCACTCCGCCGCTCATTTTTGAACCGTCTGTGAAAATACTACCGGGTGGAGTATAGTAGTTTTCTTCCCATTCCTCCCTGCTTGGGATATTCATGACGACGTTTCTATCCGGAACCAGAGTTTCAACACAACGGACTATACAGCCCGGAAGAAAGCTATATTTTTTCAGAATGCAGGAGTTACCCAGCAATCCCGATTCCCATTGCCCTGTCTTCCTTAACCGAAGTGCAGCAAGAGATGCCATCTGCTGGCCCACTAGATCTAGTGGCAGAAGATCTAAAAATAGGTTTAAAGCATCATTTTGCGTTGTCCGAATTGCTCCGCTAATGTAAATCATACTAATCCTCTGTAATTAGCTGAGTAGAAAAATGTCGCATAACAGTGTTTTTTGTTGACGATTAGATTTTATTTTCAGTGGAAAATTCAGGTCCGACTATCTAATAAAAATTATTTAAAATCAATTATAGGGTTTTCTTCTGGCAAAATGAGCATTTCGTATGCGTTTATACTAATTCCATTTCTTCAAGCGGTTTAACACAATCGAGCATAACCTAAGGATCATGAATATAACTTCACAAGACAGTTGAAATATTGAAAAAAAACGACGTATCGTTCCATATTTAATGAATATCCGATATTAAGTTCACAAAATTTTCTGCAATTATTATCCTTTTGGTTGGTGTTTCCAACAGGATAGAAGGATGATGTATTGTGGATTTGTGTCCAAACCAAATGTGACGGGAAATCGTTCCACAATACATCTCTACAAAACTTTAAGAATCAATAACATCCAATTCCCAGCGAAAGTCGGCCCAATCCCCGTTTCTTCACCCAGAGTTGGCGACCTTATTGTCGCTACCATTTCAAACTATCGAATGTGAAAGTGGATACTTTTCAGGAGAGCAAAAAAACTGTTGTAAAAAATGTTGTTGTCATTAAGAAAAAAAGTGGGATTCGACACTTTGTTAAAGCCAGTATCTCTGCTTATAAGAAGACTAGAAATGCGACGATTTGCCAAATTACATATGATCCTAAACGCGTGCGCAACGTATCGAAAATGAAAAAAAAAATCATTCGATAGGTGGACATGGTAGCGACGATATGTACAAACATGCTTATATATGTATATGTACTTTCATACACGTTTGTGAAAAACTTAACGAACAATAAATTTTGCCACGATTCTTAGATTGACTGCGCCATATATGTTTGTGCTTGGAGTCGTACAGGTTACTATGAAGTATCTGGCCACATATTCGATATTTGATCCTCCGACCATGGATCATGAGACGTGCCCAAAATATTGGTGGCGCAACTTACTGTATATCAACACACTGTTCCCAGTAGATCAAATGGTAATTAGGCACTTACAATTTTTCGGCTATATCGTCATATACCAGTATTTACTAATTTTAATTATGTACATCTTTTAGTGTATGCTATGGAGTTGGTACTTGGCCAACGATACACAGTTCTACATTATTGGCGCCATCATACTGATCATCGGAGTAAGGCACTTTAAACTGTCTGCATGTACCACTTTAGTTTTCTTGGTGTCGTCTTGGATTACAACAGCTATCATAGCTTTTACTAACAACCATCGACCCGACACTGACGACCCTCTGGCGTTATTTGATAAAATATATGATAAACCGTGGACGCGTCTGGGCCCTTATCTTATCGGGATGGCAGTTGGCTGGATATTGTTTCGCACCAACTGTAAAATTCGTTTTCCACGTCTTACGGTGGCCACTCTCTGGACGTTGGCCATGCTCAATCTCTTTGTTCTGGTATTCGGACTGTATCGCGCTGATTTATCACAATTATTGGCGGCTGCGTATAGCTCGCTTAGCCACTCAGCTTGGGCATTATCGTTGGCTTGGATCACAATTGCATGCTCTACAGGATATGGTGGCTACATTAATTCCTTACTCTCAGCCCCTTTTCTGTATCCGTTCTCCCGTGTCACCTACTGCGCATATCTGGTACATCCGATCGTCATTCGATCTATGGCGCTAAACACTGACGCCCCACTACACTTGGGCGGTGATACTATGGTGAGTTGGCTGTCTTTTGACTCTTTAACTAAATTAAATAAACATTTTATTCAGGTTATATTATTTTTTGGACTTGTGGTAGCATCGTATTTGCTGTCGTTTGTTGTATCGATGTCCTTCGAAGCGCCTGTTGTCACAATGCTGAAGATCCTGTCTCCTAGTCGAAAAAAGCGTATCGCTTAGTAAACTTATGTTTGCAAGTACATTATATATTAGGGTGGTCCAAAATAAGTAAAGTCGGTATTTTAATGCTCTCTCCCCCTAGAATTGTTCTATATCGAAAAAATACACCCATATTTATTTATTTTGAAATAAAAAAAGGTCGCTCAAAGCGCTCAAAAATTTCCATGTATTTTATATGAGGAAAAAGAACTTTTCGTAGAAATGGTATAGAATTCTTGAAAATCAATATTTTTCGATCGGAAAACTCTGGTTCTCTCCAAGAGACTTCCAGTAACAATACCCAATTGTTTACTTAACCATTTATTAATCCTAAAGATTTTTTTATTTATCCCCCCATTGCATCTGGGGTTTTTGACAAACCTATAAAATATCGTGACTAAGAAAAAATTTTTAAATAATTGGGTATTATTATAGGGAATCTCCTGAAGAGAAATAGAGTTCTCCGATAAAAAAATATTTAATTTCCAGAATTCGATACCATTTCTACGAAAAGTTGTTTTTTCCCATATAAAATACATGGAAAACTTTGAGCTCTTTGAGCGGCCACAAAATATTTATTGATTTCAAAATAAATAATAGAGGCATATTTTTTTCGGTATAGAACAATCATAGATGGTGAGAGCATAAAAATTCCGACTTTACTTTTTCACATACATTTTTGGGCCACCCTAATGTACATACATAAGTATTTGCCTAATGACTTGGTTCGTTTCTAGTTACATACTTGTTAGTAATGTTTCTTAAAAATGAAAACAATGTACATAAGTACATATGTACATACATTCTTATCTTTAAATAAGCTTTATTTTTTAATTTTTCCTTATGTACACGAATACGTCCGACCAAGCATGTAGGGTATTACATAAGAACTAGACAGGTAAAATATCCAGTATCCAGTATCCAGATACAGACTGCTTTTATAAAATAAAGTTTGGTTAACGAGTTAAAGGACTTCACATTCTTTTCTTAATCGGCAGGTTTCATCTACATATTTCAAACCTAAATACCAAATAAGCAAAATAACAATAAAATTATTAAACCTGTTATTTTGATAATTTAAATAAAAGCCAAGTGTCTTTTTGACTTACGGCTCTATTCTGTATAACTGACAAATTCTTGTCACAGTTTTTATTACGGAAAAATATATGAAAAATTTTAGATTTGTCAATAAAAAAATGTTTATCACCGATACAGATTTGGGTTATTAGTGTAGTGTAGCTTGACTTTTTAGAGTTCGTAGCGGAAAATACAAAACTTATAAACTTTAAAGGGCAACGTCTCAGGTACAAAAAAGGTATCAGAATTGATTAACAAAAATATTGAAGAGTTGACCCCTGTGCGACACGTCTTAACCGTCTCCAATCGGGACCAAAATTTATATGCGATATCTTCGACTATGTTAGTATCGAATTTGGGTATTAGACGAAAAAAACTAATTTAAATTTTTTGAGGCTATAGATGCATCTATACATTTCCCCCTCTGCGACAGGCCTTAACCGTCTCCAATCGGGACCAAAATTTATATGTGTTATGTGTGACCGTTGTATTACCGATTGAAAAAAATCGTTCGTTTGATTTTTTTAATGACCACCCTAATACGTATGTATGTATAAGTATGTCGTCCCATTTCTGCGTTAACCTCGTACTTCCAATAAATTGAGTCTAGATATCGTAAGACAAAATTGTTTTTTTCTTCCACTGGGGTACAATAATTTTTTTTTGATTCAACGAATACTAGAGAGTATTCACTTAAAGTTTTGAGAAAATGATACCTAAGCTGCTGTTGTAGATGATTATATTAGTTTTCGCAAAAAATTTATATACGTTTTTTTTCAAATAAAATTTTAAATGTTTTCAAATAAAATGTTTAAAATGCACTTCTTTGTTCATATTATTGTAACTTTATATAACTAATATCAGGGGCGGCGAAACGCCCTGTGCCCGGGTGGGTAGTTTTGCTGGTGGCAAGAGTATACAGGTAAAAAAAAAATTGGTTACCGATATAATTGAGAATCGTTCATGAGTTCAATATCCATCTACACGGCTACATGGATTATTGCTACACGGTTGAGCCGTTTTTTGTGCATTGTCGAGCACAAATAATTTTTCACCTTAGGCAAAACAGAAAAGCTAATAAGTAATCAGAAAGCAGAATAGTAACAAGTAATCTAATGAAGCGTACCAATTCAGGAACAAGTCCCATACACAATTTTAAGCAAAAATTGCATAACATCTTTCACGGATTTTGCTCTGTACGCCTCATTATGCACAGAGCCACCCATATCTTTATCGCTATTGAGTTTGCATTCGTCAAAATCACCATAATAAAATGTGACATTTTCTTCAAATCTACTGTCTGACAAAGAATGAACTTTTCTAAAGTTTTATGAAACGTTGCCGATTCATTATCAAATCTACTTGTCAGGGAGAAAATAACTTAGTCAAAAATTGCATAATATATCTTCTGAAAATACTCTTCAGGTGTGGTTAAAACAAGATTTTCAATTTGACTTATTTTTCTTCTTAAAAATTTCAGGTGGGTACTACTACCCACCATACCCACTTCTTCCGCCGCCCCTGATTGGGATTCTAAGTAGGTTATACGTGCCGATTAGTCAACTTTAACTCGTTAACTAGGTTTATCTGTGCCGAAGGCATAGTAGATGCATGTGAATACACATTTATTTATATGAGAAATCTCAAGAGTTATTATTTTTGATGTGACTCCCTTCTCTCGCCCGTAATAAACGCTAAATCATTCCCCTTGCATTTATTTCAATTAATGGAGTTCCAAAAACAACTACAGAAAAAATTAAATCAAGCATTTGACCATTTTAAGGTATCCACACACCTATGCGATTCTGTCGGTGCGAATCTGTTCCGACAAAAATTACAACAATGCCGACCATAGTTTTAAATGAGGAACCACACACTTATACGACTTTGCTGCAGCGATTTATTCGAACATGTACAGTTCTTCTTTTCGTCGTGCCGAAATCGCAGACTGCCGCGTTTTGAGAACGAAAAAGGTCAATAGAAGGATTTTACAATATTAAAACAAAATTTTACTTAAAAAAATATAATTGATGTAGAAAAATTAAGAATTTTATTTTTGTTGAAAAATATTTTTTGTTTGTCTATGAATTGACAGTTTTTACTGCAATAAAATCGCACAGATGTGTGCGTTCTTGCGTTTTCGACGCAGTAACGTCTGTAGCATCAAAAACGATGCGGATTCGTTGCGACAGAATCGCGTAGGTGTGTGGATACATTTAGCCTTAAAACGTTTATATAGGCGAAAAAGTACCGCAATTACAAATCTTTTCAATATCACTCGAAAAAAATTTTATTTGTTTTTTTAAATTACTTTAATTCAAATAAAGTGTTTTTATTAAAGCCAGAATATCGAGCCCTAACCGCCAAAATAACGTAAGCGACATTTTTTTCAAAATTTTCTTTTTGATGCAGAAATATTCCTCGATTATCTAGATACATTTCTGCATCAAAAATAAAATTTTGAAATAAATGTCGATTACGTTATTTTGGCAGTTAGGGCTCGATATCTGTGGCAGCTATTTTATAATTTTTTATCTTTAAGGGCCGATTTTATAATAAAATGAAAGAATATTTTAAAATTTGAAGGATGCTTTATTTTGCTGATCGATTTCATAAAGCCACTTTAAAGATAAAGGTGCCAATAAAGGCTCTTTAGTTAAATACCCAAAATGGAAATTTAAATGACATAAAGATCAGTGTTGTAAGAAAACAAAAGTATGTCATTGTCGTAGTATAATTTCATATTTATCACAATCAGTTAATTCAATTTTACTGAGATCAGCATTACCAACTTTGTTATTTCCAATTAAATGAACATTTTGTAATAATTAAATTACCATCGCATTATGAACTAAAATACATTTAAATGACACTTTAACCAAAAGGAAGGTTTTCCAAAAAAGAACTAAAAGTGTTTCATTATGAAATTGGCACTAACTAATGTTTCATTTTAAAAGTTGAAGATAGTTCAAAATGTTAACATTAAACGGTGAAAATGATCTTCAGGGACGTGAACCGGTTTTGAACCGAACCGGTTTTGAACCGGAAAACCGCTTTTTTCTATTAATTAACTGAACCATTAACCGAACCGAAATTTTCCACAAATGTTTGATCCGAACCGAAAACCGAACCACTTTCCATAAAGGTTTAAAGGTTCGTTTCAACCAAGTTTTAATAGATAAATGTACCAACTTTTTTCCTTTTTGTTAAACATGGTAATACCTACCCTGTGACAGAAAGACAGACGAAATACGTTTGTGATAAAATTTTGGGAAACGGGAGTGCCACCGCCCACTTATGATCACGTATCTCGTATGTATCTCGGTAACCGGTCTACCAATTTATACCAAACTCGGTATGGCTATTGTGCTTGCCAAATAAAAGCAAAACGTTCAAAATTATTGAAATCAGATTCTTGCCAAAACGAAGAAATCTAGAGTAATAAAACTAGCGGGCCACCAAATAAAAAAAAATACATTGATTATTCCGATTTTACAATTTATATTGGCCCACTCGAAATTCATTCTAAAGCTGTTATATGCATGAAGAACTTTATATGCATACATATGTATTATGCGTAAATAATACTGTAGTAATTAATTCCACGCGAATATTTAATTACTTTTAAATAAATAATACGACTTTTTAGTTAAGGCGTGGCAGTAGACGTGTTGGCTGACTGTCTATGGCTATGCTACGGGGCATATACGTTACATAACTACAGTATATTTTTTTTAAGATTTGATTTAAATTCAATTTCACGATAGAATCTTATTCTTTATGCAAAACTAAAGATAATGTACATGGTTTAAGATAAGTGTGCCACCATTTTGGACAAAAAAACACGTTTTTACCGAAAAAATGTAACAACTCTTGAGATTTACTCATATACATAGATATAATATATCTAAATAACTGCTTCACGTGTAATGGCACATCTGTATGCACGCATAATGTGGACTCAATAATGAAATATATTTATTACCCATTACGAAAATTAATAAAGTTTATATAGTTCATTTAAACCATTATTATAAGCTCA